AACAAAAATCAGCTCTCTAAGCACCTATCTTTTTAAAATAACCCCAAAGTGTCTGAAGAGCCCCTACCACAACATTAGACCCTGAAGGAAAAAAAACAATTGTTAAGCTGCTGCTCACATTGTCCATGTTTGTGACCTGGAGCCTTCCCTGACCAGACTCTGGTGCCCCTGCTCCTCTACATGATTGCAGTGCAGGTGGTGTTGTCGATAAGCCAAAGTAAGGTCTGGCTCTTCAGACAAATTATGCCGTAGTGGTTTAAAGGGAAAAAAAAACACTGTGAGAGAGCCTGCTGGGACACTTACTGGCCAAGTGTCTGCAACCTTACAGAAATGCTATCATGGGACAAACAGTGATTTATTTATTCACAGCGTGATACAGCATGGCAATGATGGCGGCAGTCCAGCAGCAACCAGGAGTGTGGCGAAGCAATGACACACATTTTGTACGGCTTGGTAAAAGCAACTGTTTTCAAATTTAGCTGGATCAGGGGAAAATGCTTATGTTGTAAAAGCTCTTGCTGACAAGAAGAGTATTACATTTGACATTGGTTGAGTCAACTACATTTTTTCTGCATTTATTTCCCCTGATTGATTCACACAATTTTTTTTGAAACACTAATCTCTCTTACTCCTGCTGTACAATAAAAAGTATACATAATTTCATGTTACTGACAAGGGAGGAGCAACAGTGCAGCAGCGATGCACCAACCACTTTATGTTCATTGCTTAGTTGCCTCATACAGTCCAATGCCTATGAATAGATATCAGACTGTCAATCAGCTGCTTCAAGACACTGGAAGCCAATCTAATAACATGACAGCTGGATAATCTCTATTATATACTTTAACAATAATGAAAGTACTGGCAACACTGTTGGATTTTTCTTAGTTTGTCTTATAGGTTATTAACTGTGGTTTATACAAAGGCGAGTGATGCCAGGTTAAAGAGCATTGTAATGGTTACGTCTAAAAAAGATAAAACCATGGATGACCTTAAAAGAATGACCTGATCTTAGTTAGCTGTCTCATTTGGTCAAAGCATCACAGGAGCACTAGCTTCTGCTCCTGTTTTGTCTTGTGCTTTTGAGTCTTTGAAGGTGAGGAAAATAAACCAACCCCCCATTGTTTAAATATTATGGATAGTGCTCACTGGAGCTCCATGTGTACAGTTCGTAATTAAGAACATTTTGGAGCATGGAGACATGCTTTGAAAATATAGGCAGAGGTACAATCCCTGTCTGGTGGGAGGTTTAGTAAGCAGTCAGTTGACAAATATTTGAGGAATATACAGTGGATCCACAATTTAATTTTCTATTATTAATATGCATTAACATGTGGATGTGCTGGATTGTCATATAAGGGATTTGACAAGCAGCCAGAGAAAAATAACCCCTTTTTTCCACTAAATTACCATAAATCCAGGCCTCAGAGGAAATACAACCTAGTCACACAGATCAGTGGAACAGTGGTAGAGAAAAAAAGCCAAAGAAGGCAATTTATTAAGCACACAGGATTTGAAAGGCTAAAATCATTCCCGACAACAGTATAAGGAGAGGAAGCAGAGCATTCAAGCTGAGATCAAAGCACACGAGCAACAATGCAGTATATAGCTTATCGTTGCTTGTGATCCGCGTCTCCTCAGCCAAAGCACCTGTGTGTACATTTCCCAGAAAAACAGCCTCCGGTGGTGATCATTACCTCTCCTCTGGAGTAGTGGGGTGGATCGTTAGCCAGCTTCAAGGAAACATCATGCTGTTAGCTCTCTCCATCTGGGGTCACACTGCTGTTTGCTTTTGTTCTTTTCTAAGTCTAATCTGCTGTCCACACATTTATCAACTTCCATCTGTCAGTTTGCTATTTTTTCTTTTGTTGTCTTATTGCTCGTTTAAATGGTAAAACCTTAAATCGCCACTGCAATGTTCAGACCTGCTACAGGGATGCAGCTTTCTTATCCTGCTTTTTCCAGCTTAGTTCCGGTATCTATATACAGCAGCATGTAGGAACCTATGAGCTCTGACAAGAGCAACATAGGGGAATTTATGGAGGTTGTGGTTTTTATTAACAATTACCATAATTGCAGTACAAATGAAAGAAAGCCTAGCCTGCCCTGCTCTGTTGAGCTTTGATCCCTTGTGCTTTGACTTTCTTAGTACTAAATTAAATTCTTCTTGTAGGCATGCAGGGAGCTATCTGTCTGTGGAGAGAGCTTCTCTTGTATTTTTAGAAATCTTAATCATGGGATATGTTTTTCTAATAGGAAATAAATACATGTGACATTGTCAGACATTAACTTGGCAGTTATAGTTAGGATGATGTCTGTTTTATAAAATTGCTTTTACCAGCCTCAGATTTTACAGATTAATAGGAGATTCTTTATTTCTTCATTGGACATTCATGTTTGCAAATAAAATTGTATAGGTGTGTTTTTCAGGTTTGTGAAATAAGAACTATGGTACTAATTATAGGGAAAACAGAGACAAAGAAATGCTTCATTTTAATGAAGCAAGCACAATATAGTTCAACAGTCAACCAAACATAAAATTGTTAAAATTGTACCCAAAAACTTTGGTATATATAACTATAAAATTCTATATATAATTTTAGTTTAGACAACCGAGGCCTTACTATGAAGTTTACATGTGTGTTTTCCTTCATAAGTGGAAATTAAATAAGAAGAAAACTTAAGTGTGTGATGCAGTATTCAGTATTGGTATATAAGTGTATTGCATCATTGCATCTTCATAAATAATTTCCTTCTAATCATGAATAAAGTTAATAGGGTTGTAATTAAAGAAAAAATTATTTGGATGATAATGGATGGTGTATCTGTTCTCAGTAGCAGGAATATCTGTAGCTTGATGAATAAGTCGTCACATAGAGAATGCAGCTCTAACTACAGTATCAGAACCAGGGAGCACCAGATAATAGGAGAGATCTACCTGCGGGAATCTATTCTCATTACTTCATACAGCATGGTGGATGTAGCTAATACATTATTCATGATTTCTGCAATATCTTATTGACCTCTGTCAAGGACATTTGGACAGGCATTCATCTTGACAAAATTGGTCAATCACAGCCTCCAAATTGGACATATGCAAAATGCAGAGGTGGCACCACATGTTGAGTAATGTGACTTTGTGGTGCACACCAGTGTGAGGATAAAATGTATGTGCATAGGAGCCTAGTGATACCAGCCTGCTGCTAATACAGCTGCAGACTGATAGCCTGAACACTGCTTTGACCTTCGACCTCCTTACATTTGAATGCCACGGTGCAGACACTCACTTTCTTCCCTCTTGTCTGTTGACTTCAATAAATTCAACTAAAATATTATGAAGCGCATCTGTGGTGACTTTCATACAGTAATGTGAGCAGTCACTGTCATTATATGGCAGATTTTCATTACTGTCGTTGTAAATTATATTATGATTGTGAAGACTGTTATAGGTTGAGAGTGTTGTCAGTTTGCTGCTTTTTCCTGCAGCAGATGTTTCCTTTGACAAAGCAGCTGGCTGAAGTTCATTTTACTTCCAAAGGCTGTAGAATTAAAGGTTTTCCTGTGAATATATCACTTTCCTGGTGGTCCGGTCATTAAGTTTAATTTTAAACAATCATGGTTGGTTTACCATAAAATGGTATGTATTCAGAATTTCTGATGGTATATCTTTTGTTTTAGGAGATCGGTTAATAATTGATTTTTTGATGAAAAATGAACTGGAAAGAATATGTGTGGCCATATTCCTTATGCCATAACCAAGACATGCGCCTCCTTAAAAATCACACTCGTGGGGATGAAAGCTGCTGTGATTGGTCGACCTGGTTGCAGGTCTAGTCCAGTGAACAGACAAGCTACTGAGCCTCGTGCTTCAGTCAACTCCAACCTGATCTACTCAGTTTCAGCCTCCACTGTTTGAAGTACACATACAGTGGCATAGTAACCTTCTTCCAGCTAGTGTTTGGTGTTGTATTGAATAGTGACACAGACATACATGTGCACAGCTGTAAATGCTCATCATGTTGTTGGCCACTTGTGGAGGCTAAGGTGTAGACTCTACCTACCTTCACAGATTGTATAAACTAGGCTTTAACCTATAACTAACTGACATTATGCTTTGTTTTGGTTATCTAGCAGTATCCTTGTTGTTTTTAGTTGTATGTATTGTATTTAAAACTCAAAGATGTGGCAATCAAAACTTCAACCATACTTGTGTGGACTGATGTATCTGTGTCATATTGGGTAGAAACAGAAGACAAATGGTGGGTATTCCTGAAGACTTTTTGTCACGTAAATTCCAATTCCACATGTGATGATAGGAATGGTAATACAAGTGAATTAGTGAAACAGTTGTTCAAATCTTGCCACTGTGCATATATTAAACTGCTTTTTCGCCTGGTCTTGGTTGGATACAATCAGCATTCACTCCCGAGTCAAATGACTCAGCAGTAGACACAGGTTTTAATCCGCTACAGCTCCAAATGGTGGCGATAGAAATGTGACATCTAGGTGAAGACGCTGATATGTAAAGACAGTGATCTGAGAGAGAGAGCGCGCCTCAGTTTCTGAACATGACACACCAGGGAAAATGCAGAAAGGCAAAGTCCTCTACTGACTGTGGGAAATCAATCACTATTTTCTTTAAGTGGGTTTGTCTGCTTTTAAAAAACCTGCATAGTCCTATACCTGAGTGTAAAAAAAGTATTGTAGAGGTGCAATTTTAATTTGACAAATCAATTCGTTGGTGTTGAAAATTACAGTATGCAGCTTCAGTCATTAAACAACATTGGTAGACTGCTTTCTCTAATACTAATATTTTTGTTGTTTTTGATGCTGTTGTTGTTTATGGTGCTGAGGATATAAACTGTTGTTATGTCCCTGCCTGTGCTGTTTGTTCAGATAATGGTTTGGTGCCCCTTTGCAGCTTGTATGCTAAGGTGACTGGACAGTCTGCTTGTTGTTGCTTTTGTTGTTGACTCTTTCTCTCTTCGTTGCTTTTAAAGCCGTCTGGATGGTGTGGTGTTCGACTGCGGTTGTGATATCCGCTGGATCCAGCTCTGGCAGCAGAGAGGAGAGGCCAGTCTTCACACGCAGCAGCTGTACTGCAGGAATGGAGCCTCAAAGATGCGACTGCACAGCATGTACATCCACAACTGTGGTAAGAGAGGGAGGGGGGTTGATCTGCTTTTAAAAGGAGGAAAAGAAGCGAAAATAACAGGGTGTGGGTCGGGTAAGGAGACGGAAAAAAGTGGAAGGTGAAGCAGGTGGGGTAAGAAGACGGGAAAAGCAGGAGGAAGAAGGGAAGGGCTAAAGGTGAAGTAGAGAAAAGCGAAGAGAAGGGGGATGAGCTGAGGCGGGAAGAGGAGAAAGTGTGACAGAGTTCAGAGGGTGAATCTGATTTGAGAAGCTGTGTGTTGATTCTGACAGAGGCTCTAGACTCTGCAATATAATCTTCTGTTGGTGACTCATCCCCGTGACATTTAATGTGTGTTTGTCTGTGCGTGTGTGTGTTTGCAGACTTGCCAGAGATCAGTGTGAGCCACAGCAGTGTGTTGGTGATGGAGGGTGACAATGTGACGGTAAGCTGCAATGGATCTGGATCTCCGCTGCCTGAAGTGGACTGGACTGTCAGCGGCCTGAACTCCATCAACACACACCAGGTCAGAATCTCTCACACACACACACACAAACCCACCAGGTTGTTCAGTGGTTATGAGAACTTAACCTTGCCATAACATCTTAAAAAACTAGAATAACACTCAATAGAGTGCAGACCTCCACTAAAGCCCAACAGTCCCCTTAAATTCAATCAAGCTGCACCAAACTGCAGACACTCATAGATATTAGGCCCCTAAATATGCTTCATTTATTCTATCGAGATCTCTGTATTATTCCCTGGGAAATCTGTGAAAATGTCAAAAAAATGTCCTTTCTCACATTTTTAAAGAAAGTGAAAATTCCTGGATTTGCCCAATGGTCCAGTTCCATTTTTTGACTCATGTCCCATTATGTGTTTACAAACCCTGTGTCTTGCTGCTATGACAACAGCAGTAACCTTTTCAACAAGCTTCACCATGTTTAAAAAACCCAAACTTTAGTCCAAAAATCCACAATATTCACATGCTGAGGAACTTCTTGGCTGTATATATTACCATGGTGAAATACCCCTGTTCAAGCTACGTCAGTCTTGTGTGAGCGAGAGGCAAGGGTTGAACCCACAGTGAGCTAGCTAACCCATTAATCTCCCCCTCAGAGTCAGGCCCCAGGGACGTCACAGCAATAACAACAGCAGAGATAAACAGCGCTGAGAGGAGAACAGCAGTTTCTGAAATTGCCATGTGGCTGTATTTGTCATCGGTGTCTTTAATGCTCGCAGTGACTATAGAGATGAAAGTTACCTCAGCCTCGGGCTCGATGTTTTACGGTAGATAGATATTGTAGCTCATGGGGATGAGTAAAGTGTTGGGGGACCTGGACAGCTAAAGGCAAAGAGGGAAATGTAAGCATGGAGTTTGGCTTAAAGGTGTAAATTTGTGATAAAAATGTATCAATTATCTCTCTTTACATTCTTGGTCATTAGTAGAAAGACCAGACTAAATCTTTGAAGTAATTAATTCCAATTGATGGTGTGTACTCCCTCACTTTATTCTGTGTCTTACCACAGGAGTCTAACCAATAAATAATTCACTAAAGTTTTAATTAAGTAATTAAAGATTTAAACTCTGCAATACAAGTGTATGTGCTGCACAGTATATCCTCTGCATACCTAAACATCTCTCTGTGTCTGCTCATCCTTTGTCCACAGTCCAATGTGTACTGGCCCAACATCCACTCCATCAACCTGACTCTGTTCAACATCAGCCGAGACGACAACAACTTCCAGCTGACCTGCATCGCAGAGAACGTGGTGGGGATGACAAACTCCTCCATCCAGCTCAACGTACAGTGTGAGTTGGATTTTTTCCTGTGATCAAATCTTTGAGGAAAGTTCAGTGTTGATTAACTTTAGAAGTGAGGGGAAGTGATTTAACATTCAGAGTTCATATTAATGCTGCCTATGTTATGTGAGGGTGAGTTCACATAACTAAAATACTTTATGTGAATATAAAGTATTTGCTTATTCACACTGATTTGTTTAGAAAATCTAAATTGCAAAGCTGTTTATGTTTATATCATAAGGTTTAAAATCACCAGGACAAAAATCACAAAAGAAAAAGAAATAACTTATAGATTTCTGGACAACAATTTATAATATAGGATTTTTTCATCATGAAATAATACTGCTCTATTTACCACCAGGGCTCTGGCAGCCCGCAGGCTCTGAGGGGCTGTATGTAGGCACGTTGCTTTCAGCAAAACACAAAATTCAACATGCTAACATACTCACAATGAAATTGCAAAGGAGTCTGCAATGTGCTTGCTCAGAATTATTCAGGATTTTGAATTGTGAATAGACTTTTTTTTGGTCCTTCTTTATCAGTACAGTAGTCCAATAGCACGATTCTGGAGCCATGTCAGGATGTTCCATTAGGCCCAACCACCAGACCAGCACAGACCAAGCCGAGAACACAGAAAATATAGCACCATGCAAACATGCATGCAAATGTAGCAAATTGTAATTACAGTAGAATTCATGATTTGTTTTAAGACAATAAATAGTATATATTTTACAATTTGATTTGTCATTTAAATGGGAAATTGTCTGAACATAAATTAATGACATTAACAAAAGAATATAATTTTTACTACACCATCTAAAAAATAATTATTTTCAAACTATACAAATAATGAACTACAGCATTTGAATTCCTATTATTGACATGGACTAAATTATATTTCCATTTTGATATTAATAAAACAGAAATTCCCTCAGACCCAAGCCAATTATGCCAACTGACAGTCATTCAACTTAATGCTGCTCACCTGCTTCTTCAGTTGGGAGTATAGGGTAGTTTCATTGGGGGATGGGAGGCAGGGCTGCTGAGCCTGAAGCTTCATCTGTTGGCCATCTATACCAGACAGAGCCAAGAACAAATGATCTTGTATTTAGTATCAATAGCTGTGTTTGTCTGGATTGATTAAATATTGGCCAAAAGAGGAGAGAATTTAACACCAATCAAGAACAACACCTTTTTTTAGGACAAATTCATGTAAGGCTCTTTGGATGTTTTTCCCAAGAAAATGATTATAAATATCTACATAATAAATGTAATGTTTCATAAAAGATTATCAAAGACAATTATTATTGTTATTTAATAAATATATATATATATATATATTAACACAAATTATAAATAGTTCCATACTGAAATCAATTACAATACATTTTTGCAGCCCAGGCCTGGCACTATGTCTTTAACTGGACCTGTTCAGGTAGACAGTAAGGAAAAATAAGTCAAGAAAAAAGTTCTGGGTAGGATACACTAACTTTCAGATGGGGAGGTTTCATTATGAACGCTTGGAGCCAAGAAGACTCTGTGATTGTCTTTTGCATGAGATGACTTTCATAGCAGCTTTAATGGACTGAAATATATCTTGTATTAAAGACACTGACAGTGTTAGAGAATAATTTACAACAGGAAAAAAAATCTCCTTTATCAGGCACAAAAGCCAAATCATGCAGGTACATTTAGAATGCAATGAGGTGTTGCACAGTTACAAACCAAGTAAAATTGATCTAGCCAATTAACAAGAATATACCCTGCAGCCCCACAGGAAAGTGTAGCCTTGATTGGAGCAAAGGGAGAAAAGGCAAAAAAAAAAATACCTCAGCAATGATAACCATCAGCATTTCTCTAAATATCCACACCATGAATAACATTACATATCAGCTCTTATGTTAGTTCACCCTGTGGATTGGCAATAGGCAGATATGGGACACACTGCATTCAAAGCCAATATTTATCAAAGGTGGCAGACATTATTCTCTTTTTAGGAAGCTTGCTGTCGTAAGGCGCAATCTATTGTGGCTGTTTGCGATGCATCCTGCCACAGGACGGAGGAGATTTGTCTCCAACACAAACAGGAGCAGAGCTGCTAAGGACCATGCTTGAATGACTGATAGACTTTGCAACATCTAGGCTTCAGGGCTTCCTCCACACGGACACTATCAATGAACATCTCCAGGCATTTCTTTTTTTCTGTTGACACTCTCTGCTGGTGCTGCAAATTGACTTATTAATTTTTCACCACATGCTCTGATGGTAATTACATTTCCTCCCCTGTGCAGCCTATTGTCTCTGAAAATGTCATAAAATAGCTTAAACTGCTGCTCTGATTAGGGAGTCATCTGATTGACAGCGAAATTACCAGCCGTCAAGTAACGTTCCCTGCATTCAAAGATGAGTTCCCTTTTTTAGAGAAACTGTAATTAGCCACGATGCAAATTCTCCAGACCCATTGTTCTGCTGCAGTGAGGAACAATAGCAGCTCTACAGCAATGTGGATTCATATGTTACTATATATTTTACTGTTGGACAAGCAAGGTGTAGAGAACATGGCACAAGCCTGGGTTAGTAGTTCTGTTCCCTAGGTAGCTTCAGGGGTACACCAAGGAATTAACTCTAATTATAACTAATTAATGAGGAAATTATCCCCCCTGAGAACCTCAATATAACTTACGCTTTGTGCAGGTTAAAATCTTAATCACGATTCGGTTCAGCCCACAGGGAATATGTGTCCCATGAAATGCTTTGCCTCCACTCCCACTGCAAGCCATGATGTTCTATCTGTAGTCTGTCTACAACATGGCATTTGAAATATGCCACCAATGTTACCACTTGATAACATTGCACAACTGGCCTTGTATTCAGTGTTCTCACTGATCAAAGGCATGTAGTTATCAAAGCTTGTCATCTATATGAGCGCCAGGAGGACACCATGTTGTTATAGACCAGTATGGAGCACTGTAATGACTTGTATTGTATTGACTGAGACTGGGCTGACAGCCTTGCTGAGGGGAAAATGGATAGGTCCTTAACTGTCCATCAACAAGAGAATTTCGTGTTTTTCTCTTTTTTCCCTCTCCTTCGTCTTTATAGGCTGCACAGCTATAACCATCCTCACGTCCTCCTCCCTCCTCTCTCGTTCTCCGCTCTTATGTCTGCCTTTTCGCTTTCTTCCTGCACACACCCCCACACCAACATGTTCACACATCCCAATATCTTAGCCTTTAGTTCAGCTGAAGGACTTCATTGTCACTATTGTCTGGCGGGAACAATATCGCCAAAGCAATTTATGAAATGACAGCTTTCACTGATAAATAGATTATTCATGTCCTCAGTAGATGATTATTTGCTTTGAAAACATAAGCGTTAGTTGTTACACACGTGATGACACGTGTAATGACCAGTGATGTAACTGACAGTTACATTTATTATAATTTTTCTGACAATCATTTTAGCTTAGTCAATCACATTTAATCACTGCTATAACCACATAGTAAATAGAATGACACTAAATAAAGCAAATAACTCTCCCGAGGCCCAACAGTTTCCTTATGAAAATACATTCAATTCAAAGTCACTACTCAGTTTTTTTTATGTGAATCTGTACCAAATGTATTCTCATAAATATCAGGCCCCTACAAATGCCAGAGTTGTTTCATCAACACCCATGAATTCTTTGAAAACAATGAAAATGTTGAAAAAATCCTGGATATGCCCCCTGATCCAGATCCACCCCAAAATTTCATGGATTCTTTCTTGACCAGTATTGTATCCTTCCACCAAGTTTTCTAGTTACTCTTAAAGTATTTTTTTCATGGTCCTGCTAACTAAGAAAAGCATTAAGAAAAATAATCACCATGAAAACCTAACCTCTGGGGTGGAGGTAGCACAATGTTTAATACCAGATCTGAATTGCCATACAGGAAGACAAAGCCAAGCAGAGGGGAAGACACAATAACCAATTACATACAGAGCTGAGGGTGCACATTGGCACTGTCTTCTGTTTGACTGTCACAGTGTGACTTTTGGGTGTTCAGAAAAAAGTGACAGTTTGTTAATGTGTAAAGAATGATCTTATATTCTCACCTTAACACAGCTGACTATTTTTATCCATGTAAGCTACATGGAAATGTTGGCTTGTTAGTCGGTCAGTCCACCTTGATCCAAACTAAAATATCTTTACAACTATTAAAGAAATTGCTATTTGGTTATATAAAGAGGATGGCACACACATGTGGAGGTGGATAGGTAGGTTTGGTGGGGCACAGCTGCTATGTAGAACAGACACGGAGTGAGAGACTGCCAGATAAATCTCTCTCCCAAATATTTCTTTTTGATGATGTAGCTGCAAGAGTGACTCATTGCAAATACAAATTAGTAGATGAACTGGTTATGAAACATATCTGGTGGTTTTAAAGTGATAAATTGCCTCATAGCTTGGCGTCATTGAGGATTCAGAGGTGTGTTGCTGTATGTTAGGAAAGTGAGGCCCTGTGCTTGTTTATGCACAGGAGATTACACTCTCTGTTTGAAGCGTGAGGAGTCCCTATATCTGTTTGCCTTTCCATCACTTGCAGTGCTGCAATATGTAACGCACAGTAAAAGGCTCATTTCTACTCCCAGGCAAGAAACCTAACTCCTAAATGTCATCTTTCCCAGAACAAATCAGAACAGCTCTGTGTTCAGTCTGCTGCTGCATTGTTTTTTAGGTTGTTCAGAAAAAATTAGGAAAGGTTTTCATCAGCCCAAGGGTGGTGGAACTTTCTCAACACATAAAGGTCTTTATACTTACCTCAAGTTTAACATAAAAAACAGACAACAGGTTCTGTGATGGAAGAAGGTAGGACTGTCATTAAGAGCTGCACATTCTATTCTTCCCCTTGTGCTCTGCATGCCCATAACGTTTCTGTGTCTTTAAATGACCTGGTTTCCTCCCTTCCTCACTGCAGTTCCTCCAGTGATCCTGAGACTGGCTGAGCCAGAGCAGCGCCTCCACACCTGCATCGAGTTCACGGTTCGGGGTTACCCCCACCCCAAGCTACGTTGGTTCTACAAGCAGAAGGAGATTGTGCAGAGCGACTACATTCGGACTGAGATGGACTTCTACCAGGACTATCTGGAGGGTTGTCTGACCTTCCAGAACCCAACGCACATCAACAACGGCAACTACACCCTGGAGGCCAGCAACCCGCTAGGAACGGTCACAAAGACAGTGTATGGTCACTTCCTAATTGAACCAGGCATCATTGAGGAAGGTGAGTGGAATATTTCTGCTTGGTGGGTCTTCCTCATGGTACATGTGTTCAATGAGTGATACACAGTTGACAGCATGATCACAATAGACTATACTAATTGGTATAATCCAATTTATACAAGGTTTACTAACACATTTTGCCTGGATATCCCACGGGCCCACTCTTCGGGAATGAGCATCACCATTGGAACAGGCCTCAAACACTTGGATTTCTTGTCTTCACTACCTGCTGTGTAAATTACAGGTTCTGTTCTTCGTGTAAGAACTATTGGGGGCTTTTAGTTTTTATTAAAATCTTGCTTCACAGGCTGCAGGTTGTGCAGCTGATCCCTGTTGGCTGGATAGCAGCCAGGGTTCATCCACAGTTCAGTCAGGTAGATTGTTCGCCAGCAGTTCATCCTGAGTTCACAGGGAGGAGAAAAAAACGCACAAAGACTCACGAATTTCTCCCCATGGTCAATATTCCAAGGTTAATACCTTGTGTCAATTTATTGACATAGTGTGACTTTCTCTGTCTTCTCTTTTGCAGACATAGTGGAACTAGGTGAGTGTCTCAATTTTCAACTTTACACCTGCTATTTTTTTTGGTTTGTTCAGTGTTGTTAAGCACACACAGACAAACGCATCACTTGTTGGTTGACTATTATAGGCTCAGATCATTGTTTGTGTCAAAATGCAGTGGGTTTGATCGTAGCTGTAAATTAAGCCTTGAGTTGGAGTGCTGACTTTTCCACACAGTGTCAAAATCTATTTTTTTCTATACAAATGTTTTCTATAGCCTACATTTCAACTACAAAGATGAATGCATCATGCAGATTCATCTTACAGGTTTACAAAGGGGTTGGATGGTCAAAATCTTTTTGAGCCCATATATTATCTGTGGTGGAGTATTGGGACTATTTAAAGGGACAAAATAGATTTCAAGAATAAAGTTGTAATATTATAAGAAGTAGTGTTTTGCTGCTTGTTTGCAAAGTATTCCTTTATTCTAATAACACTATGAATATTACTTCTAGTTAAATTAGAATTAATAATCTTATGACATTTTGCTGATGAAATCTTTATTCTCTTAATATTACAACTTTCCCCTTAGTTACAACAATATTTTTTGTATTATTATGACATTACTCTCAAACTCTCCGATTTTTTATTAACAAGGACCTATTACTCCATCATATCTATCACGACCATAACCATGGAGAGATGTCCATGCTTGGATTATGCTCCCTAGTCAGGATTTAAACTGGCAGCCTTTTAGTCAAAACCTGCTTTTTTGAGACTGTCGGGGGTGAGGCTAAGTTTTAAACTAAATAATACATTATCCCTCATACACGCTCATGTCATGTTACTGTTCATTCTAGACTTTAAAAAAGCAGCTGCCATTCAGCGGCTTCTGCTGTTCCACAATTCACCAGCCACTTTGCTGCCTTTTTGGAGATTTGGGAGATTTTATGCTTCAGATGATGCTGCAGTGATGCCCTGCTTTACCTTCAGACAGAAAACATACACTCTCAAAATGAGACAGCTTCCTGCCATATTAACTGTCCTTGGTTTGATTGTAGAAGATATTCCTTATTGTGTTTATTGGGAATTGTATCAATGACTTACATGCGTAGAGTAGTTAGGCTGCTTCTCTAACCCTAACTAACTGCCCTCAGTATAAACAAGCTAGCTTCCCACCTCGTTTGCTGGTGATGTGCGAACGCTTGAGAAGCAGTAAGTGCTGTCATATAGCTTTGGCCCACACTCGACTGCATCGTAAATCTCTGGGTGTGTTGCGTGGCTTGGCCTCAGGCTGTTGTGACAGCCTCACTGTTGATGGCTCATACAAAGTGGGCCGGTCTGATCTCTGACCTTCATCAGAGTCTTCTCTCATCTACATATGAGGCAATTTTTTCTCATCAGCCATAGATTATAAAGCTGCAGCATGGCCAGGGACAGAGACGGATGGATACTGACTGTGTAGTGAGCTGCATTAGGCAGGCAATGACTCTATGTTGCAACACATACACACACACACAGTCTCTGGGAGTGAGGAAGGTGAGGGAGAGGTGTTTAGGTGATGAGAGTGTGAGACTGACGTGCCGACCCATGCTAATGCAGCTGAGGAGAGAGGAGGGCAGAAGGAGGAGAGGACAGAGGGATGAAGACTGGGGAGGAGGGACATAGATGGTAGTTATGGCACACACACTCACACACAGAGCCATGCACTTTAGTGTACTGTGTGTGTCAGAGCCAGTGGCAGCCAGTCTACCATGTGCTCATTAATTTGCCCACAATTAGTCTCTGATGTCCTGGCTGGAGGCCTCAGAGTGGAGTTTCCCTCACACCAGCTCATTTCATTTCATGGCTCTGCCTCTGTCCTCTTCTCCTTACACTCTTCAAACCTCTGAGCTTTGCCAAAGCCTCTTGTTTGTCTAGGTGTGATGTGCATTTAAACATCAAATTAGTCTGAATGGTTTTTCAGATTGATATGGCTACTCTGGACTGTTAGATTTCTGCCTGAAAATGTGGGTTTGATTTTTCAGATAAAGGTCTCATGTTTGATTTAGTTCAATGTGTTTTCAGCTGATTTAATTTTACCTCATTCAGCATTTGGTGCTCTGGGCTATATACCCTTCTTGTCTGTTTCTCTGCTTGTATAATTGTGTTTGGTTCTAAAACAGCTTGTTTTCATTATGATGTGCTTTTGTGTGCGTGCAACCATGAGCATGCAGTTGTGCAGTTGAAAAACAATCCCACGATCATTTTTCTCTAACTTAAATGTGAGACTTGAGTCTGGCTGAAACTGGATGGTACATTTCAGGCCCTGGTCGGCTCTTGTGACAGGTGTCAGACTTTAGTGTGTGTTTAAGGCTGCGCAGACTTTTAAAAGCCTCATAAAAATGCTTAGTTCATCAACATTGTCTCAAGCTGTTATGGCACAGCTGTTGAAGTCAATCCACTTCAAGAGTCTAATAGCAATGAGCCCTAGCACAAAAAATGGGAAAGATATTGAAAATATGCTTTAAATCATAGACACTGAAGAGCACAGCATGTCATCTTACTGTTGCCTTTTAAGCTGTGCAATAACCTGTGTAAGTGTTATACTTATTTAATGTGATAATGGGTGCATAAATAGATTCATACCAGAGAAGACTAAAAAAATCACTTATTCTAGTGCAGCCACTGTTAGTTCAGTACGGTTTTCACATCACAGCAAATGACAATACAGTAGTAAGAAATCTTACAACAAAAATAATAAAAAAACATTCTCAGTTCTTCCTTATTTACTGTAATTACTGTAATTATACCACAGCCATTATATACATACTCTCTTCCACAGCAACTGATGGCTGTTTTGTGTTTGTGTGTTGCAGTTACAACGCCATCAGATAGTCGACCAGATGAAGATACATTCGGGGTGAGTTTTCTCCTTAATGATGTTGATGAAACAGACACTAAAGAAGTTTCCCCTGGACTCAGCAGAGAGCTGCTGTGTGTTCTACTACAAACCCCACACTGCTTTTTATTTGTCAAAGGACCCTTGCAGAGTTCTGTACTGCGTGTTGACACGCAGCGCCCAGGCACTATGAACAATATTAAAGTCATTTGTCAGAGTTGAATGTTTGGACACTAATGATGATGGTGACACACTCCTGCAGTGAGTGATGCTGTTTTAAAATGTTACGTAACATGTGGATTCTGTAGAGTTTTTAAAACCAGTGCTGCTGAGTCGAGACAGAGATGCTAACACTAGAGTGGTCAGTGGGCTTATTGAATGTATTCCATGTTATGTCGTAACAGGAGAAGCTCTGCTGTGATTAACAACATTAATGATGACTGCAGTCACTGAGATGTGACAGTTACAGTTTTCTTGATCATGGGTGTTTAAGGACAGAGCTTAGCGGGATACCTTAATGGAACAGAGCCATCGTAAATGTAAATAATCAAACTTGTGTAGCACTTATTAGGCAGGAGCAGTGACACTGAAAATGTAAACACCTACATCATTGTTGTGCTGCAGCTAAAACTTCCTTTTTTAACAGTTCAAAGTCCCACACCTTATAGTTCAGTGCTACCTTTAAATGGACACTAATATTAATGTTATTTAAATTATATATACATACACATATATATTAAATTTGGCTTCCACAGGCCACAGAGGCTAGCAGTTTTGTAAGCCAGAAAATGTAAGATAAAATCACAGAATCAAATGATTCTGACATTCAGCAGACATATCATGAAATGAAAAAAAACAACTATATATGAGTAAATTTACAATATACCATTCAATGACAAGTTAACTATAAGGGCCCCCACCATTTCTGAAAGTCTCACCAAATACAATTCAACTAGTGAACTCAGAGCTTGGAGTTTTTAGATTACCTGTTTACAAGAGGTTGCATGCAGCATACAAGATAGCATATTAAAAGACTGGACTAACTAGATAGATAAGTGAAATTTCACTATTAACAGTTGAGACTGATTCACAAATGGTTGAATATTGTTCGCAGGACCACACTACATCGATTTCAAATGTGCAAGATGGCAGTGTTCGTTAGGTCTGTGGATGTTTAGATTAGATCAATAATACATTTGTTTGGAATTGTGAATAGGATTTTGTAAACTTTTTTTCATATTATTCATTTTCTATTTGATAAATAAACAATTTCCTGTTATTACATGTGCAATAAACCTCACAACTTGTAGCTGATAATGAAAAGAAAACTGCACTTTGTAAACAGTGCAGTTCTGTGCAGTATTTATTTTTACATATCCATATTGATATAGACTTTAGATAAGAAATAACTGAAACGAGGATGATAAGCCAGATGCAGCAGCTTCTTCAGAGTCACATCACACACATGACTTTAAAGTAACTGCTGCACTTTTTTCCAAACTGCACTGAGTTTAAAGCTGACTATAGATGAGGATCACATTTAAATTACATTCTGTCAGCTGGAATACATCACAGCAGACAGCTGTTTAACTTTTTTAGAGAGAAAGAGAAGGAAAAAAACATGTAAACACTGTTATGTGGGATCAACTCTAATTTGCAGTATTTAAGGTGATGAAAAATGAGGCAAAGATTATGAGGCACAGTCTCTGTCTGAGTCTGACACAGCATTTTGTCCCTCCCAGGTTTCCATTGCTGTTGGTTTGGCAGGCTTCGCCTGTGTCCTTCTCCTCGTCCTCTTTGTTCTCATCAACAAATACGGCCGACGCTCCAAATTCGGTATGAAAGGTAAGACTACACAAATTGTCTCACGAGCTGATGGGCAGACAGGCAGCTTTGTTTTTTGCCTTTCTGCCAGTTGCGTCATTGTGTGGAATCCATTCCACACAATCTCCAATCTCTATAAAACCTTTGTTCACTATAGAAAACGTAATGCAGCTAGAAGTCCTGAGTAAACCCTCTGCATTCTCCAACATTCCAAAGAAGTCGTACTGCATGTTTACTGAAGAACTACACTAATATCCTCAAGTGCCCCCTCAAGTGCCCCCCCCCCCACACACACACACACAAACACACATACACACACATACATGCACACACACACACACACACACACACACATGCTGCACATGGTTGAGTATTGCCAAAGGACATACATTTGCAATTAGCCGTTCACATGCACATACTGTATACAGACAGCTGGATCAATACTTAAGGACTGAGAGAATGCAAACGAGGTCTATGCACTGAACATACACCTCATATATTCACAGTGTCTACTATATAGAGCAATTTCAGAAGGGATCCTGAATTAATTAGTGGACTCTGCACTGTCGATCATGCTGAGCAATTCAATAGGATTAATATGGCTTTCGTACATGCTGAGCTTTCGTTTTGGGCCCGCCCCAGTTTTTGCTGATGTCTCTGGTGTTGGTGTTGTCCGAAGAGGTAAAACTGCTGTAGCACTGATCTACAAACAGATGAAGAGAGGAGGGTAGTGGCTCAGGTGCTAAGGTTTAGGTTCAGGTGTTTGTCTCAGTTGGCAGGCTGAGTGGTGGCATCTGCTTGTGTTTGCTTGTCTGTGTTGGGCGAGTTTGTTTGCCACTCACAGAACATACAGTACATCCTCAGCTCTTTCTTCAATATTTGGAAAATGTCAATAATATATATCACATTTAAAACAAAGTAGGTCTTCTTATGATAAACTAGAGGTGATTTTCAAATATCAAGGCCTGAAAATAGGCCAAAAATAAAATAAAATGTATGTGGTTTGAATTTTGTACTCTTATGGACAAGTCACCATGGGTAAGTGTTGATATAGTAATAAAACACACTAACCACCCCCACCCATATTTGGTTCCCGCTACATCTGAGCCCTTGACGATAAGTGTAAAGTAGCAAAAGCTACGGCCACCTCTTAATAGCTACTTTACAGGATAAGTGTTTGTTACTTACCTCAGTTAAGAAGCCTCTGCTGTCATTATTTAGGGGGTGTCAATTATTACATTGGACTAAAGCTGCCTCTAATCAAGAATAAGTCTCATAGTTAATTAGGCTTTGCAGTCGTGTTTGTAATGTCACGACATCGTCAAATGTCAGGATGAATTTACGCAGCGCAAACAAACTGTTCCGACAGACAGGAAACAAAAGTCACAAATCCGGATTGTAAAGAAACCAAAAAGATAATAACAACAAGATGATGTAAACAAAAGCTCACACACTGTACAAACTTATTACAAATCCATGACATGAAGACAGTGTAACCCCCTGTGTTTGTATGTATGTGATAAGATATAATTAGTGTCATAGCTGTTTATTAATGGTGCACCTACTTTCCAGAAACTTCCTTAGTGTTGTGAAGCACCATAATCAGGTAGATAGCAATGCATTTTACAAGTGTTTAAATACTGATATTATCCGCCCACATCTAAGAGTCAAGTGAGATAACTCACGTTTGAATTGTTTATTACTTCAGCAGAAAAAAGTATGATTCTTGTTGTGGCTCTGAACTCGTCACTCCCCTCAGACCCTCCCAGGGCGTGTATGCTAGATTATTGTTTATGTATTATTGTTAAACCACATACAAAATACAATAGTATCAAAAAAGAGGAAATATGCTTCAGCTGTAGCAGATAGGGCAACATCCTATTTATAACCGCAGACACACAGGAATAAACATACAATAGCACATTTGAGAGGAAGCAAACACAAAACAGAATTTAAACACCAATATCTTTCTATTCACATAAAAAGAGCCGTGCAGCTCAAGCTTTCTGAACCAGCTCTCAAACATTGCTCCATTTGTTTTGGGGATTTTTATTTAATTTACAGTCCAGTAAATGCACCACCTGAGAATCAATATGAGTCTCAGTGTAAAACTCTACAGCCCTGACTTATATTTACACTTACTATCAAATACAAGTGGGCACTGCTTAATAGTGCTGGCTGCATTCAGAGCTTAGCATGTTTTAATGGTCAGGATGCCCACTGTTACTGTAGGAGTCAACTCTTAACACAAGGATGCTTCAAATGCAGTTTCAGTACTCTCCAAGCAGCAGCGCTGAAGAAGGTAATTTGTCTCCCTGATGACAAGGTCCAAAGTTCTCTCTGACATTGTAGGGCATTTATTTGGAAATTGCATTGCAGGGGTATCTCACATGGAGCCACGTGGTTCTCCTGCAAAGCTCACCACGCCTTACAATATGTTGAGATTAGCCGCTTTGCTCAAGTGCACCTCAGCGTTTCTCATACATTTTTCTGCGCCCACAGTTTTTTTTCTCCAAACTAACTTGCTAGGTAACTAACAGCTTTTCCATGAAGGTCAGTGTTAGGTGGAGAATCAGAGGGAGATATGATACTGCCTTAGCAGTGTTCTGCCTTATTGTCACTCTAGTGTTTAGCTTTATGTCTTTGGGTCATAATTACCAAATAAGAGGCATCAGTTTCAGTGCTGCCATGTTTCATCTTTTCGTTCTCCATCTCCAGACTGCAGATACCTGATCCAGTTCAGCTTAAATAAAGATGCTTCTCTCCTCTTTCAATGTGAGTGATGAAGGAATAAAGACCTAAAGAAAGGTGATGTCAGCGTGGACACTCTTTCAAGACCTCACGCTGCTCTGTACAAAGGCCTGATTTCTCAACGTGTGTGTGTGTGAGAGAGAGAGACAGAGAGAGAGAGAGTTTTCTCCTCCCACTCTTGTTCTGGAGAATCAGTCTGAAGAAGTCATTACCTTTGGATGGAGCCATAATGGATTTTCGCTCCACTAAATCACTGGGGCTCTTTTGGTTGTTGGAGTTTGAGCACAGACCCTTTCTGGCGATCCAATAAAAATTCTGTTTTTATGTTTTTTTCTTTGATCTGGTCGGACCTGTGCATGTGTGTGTGTGTGTGTGTTTGAGGTACATTCAATTGATTTGCTAGGCTTTCAGGTTTATTCACAGGCCGTCTTGCATTTACAACTCAGAGTGATACACTGCTCCTCTGTTTATGTGCATAAAATTGTGGTTTTATGAAAGATACCTGTCTGCATATGTGTAGAAATATATGGTGTGTGTGTGGGGCCGCCATGGCTGAGGGGGGTAGAGCGGTTGTCGTCTAACCAGAGGCGGTTCAATCCCATCTGCATGCCGAAGTGTCCTTGAGCAAAATACTGAACCCGGACGTGCCGCTCATGGAAAAAGTGTTGTATGAATGTGTGTGTGAATGGGTGAATGGCAATAAACTGTACTGTAAAGCGCTTTGAGTGGTCATCAAGACTAGAAAAACTCTTCATCAAAACAGAGCCTTTACTGAACATCCATAGATAACCTGTTGTTCTGATCAATATGCTGTCAACTTACCTTCCAGCAACAACATCTAGCAGCACAAGCAGTGGCCGCGTCGTTCACATAGTTATTCACACCAGTGGGTTTTGAAATGTCTTTCACAAAGATCTTTGTCTGCAGGGAATCAATGATGCTTCTTTAGAAACAGACACACCGCATGTCAGTAATGAGAATTCTGCTCACTTATCGTATGTTCTTATGTTGTGGTAGAAAATTACCCACCTCTGCAGCTGTAATTGCAGCCGATGCAAAACAAAATGTGTATTATTTGTGTTCAGGCCTATTGGGTGCACTAGCTATATTCAGAATGGGTGCACGTAGACCTGACTTTAAAAACTGTAATTGACTACAAAAACAGAAAGAAATTCAGGGAAACCTAAAATAATCTCATAAATATTTTTGTCATCATTACAAAACAGCGTCTCACGCAGTCCTGAATGTTGGAAATAAAATCATTTTGAACTAATTCTGAGGATCCCAATAGGGCTCGTGAATCAGTGCCACATTCTGCATATTTCTGGGTCTCTTCCACAATGGAGGTTGGCAGCTGCTGAGTGTTTACATAAGGAGCAGATGATGCAGGCACTATTTTTGGCCACATTTCACTACAGAGTTTTGACTGAAAATATATATTTAACAAAAGCACTCAGAGGTTACAAGTCAAAAGGAACTGACAGATGATGTAAGAAACAGAACTGACTGCATTAATGTAGAGAAGGAAAAACACTGTTTATTAACCCATTAAGACCTAGGGCACAAAATAGAAACAAACTCTAAATCAAAAATGATCTTTTAAAACTTTATAAAACTCTTCTTCAAACATGTGTCTTACCAACTGAGCCTTAGTTAGCAGGTCAGTTGGAAGATTATTTGGGTCTGAATCTTCTTCATTGTTTTTGTCAATTAAACTCTGCTCCCCTCACTTAGTTCATCAGTCATTCATTGTCTAAAACACTACTTTAAAAATGTTTTTGCAGGTCAAGAGCGCTAACAAACAAATAAACAACAGTATATTTCCTGTAATGCATTTCGCCCTTTGAGGATTTCTGTAAATCACAATGTATTTCATTAGTTGCATGTCTTCAAAACAATGAGATCATATATATCTCAGCAGGCTCTAAGGGAAAAGCATGCAAACATCACACCTAGTTTTAAAAGTATATACACACATGTTGCATCAGGTCTAAATGGGTTCACTAAATAAAACTTAGTTATAAATTGTTATATTCAGTTTATGACATATCTCATCCGCACAGCTTTTATAAACAATTACTTGGGGGGGATGTTTCTGTTTCTGTAGAATATTGTGAAAAAAGTTTTAATTTTCAGTCACTGCTTGTTGCTGCTTTCAATTTTGCTCAGTAAGAAAAGATGCTTAGGGTTGTGTGAGTAAAACACGAGCTGCTCCTGAGGTGCATTTAGGCAACAAACAGCTTAAAAGCTTAAAGTCGGTCACATGAGCC